TATGTGACCCAAAATACACACACACACACACACACACACACACACACACACACTGAAAAATAATTTAGCACGGTATACCATCTTCGAAACACAAAGTAAGAACTGAATTTCAGTAATGAAACATTTGCGATAGCATAGTGGGTAGGGCATTTGCCTTGCATGATGCTGACCCGGGTTCAATTCCTCCGTCCCTCTCAGAGAGCCCAGCTAACTACCGAGAGTATTGAGCCCTCACAGCAAAGCTTGGCAAGCTAACCATGACGTATTCGATATGCCAAAAACAGTAACAACAGGTCTCACAATGGAGACGTTTATAACTAATGATTATAACTAATCATGAAAATATTTCCTCAGACATTCTTACTGGTTTTTAGAATTTGATTTAGGTAAAAGGAAATACATTTTTAAAAACCTTCCCCCTGTTATACTAGAAAAGCTATATGAAATAGAAATCTATACACCATAAAAGCTCAAGTTAGATAAGAATCTGATATATTTCTATTGGTTTGTCTAAAATAACATTTCAGGAACTTGAACATTTTGGTCTAAGAGGCTGTCTGATTTTGGATGATTTTTTATCTTAACATTTCCTTTACCATTGTAAAGATTGTGTTATATTTCTTCTACAAAATTCAGCTTTGCTACATCAGGAAATATAGGAAAAGTAGTAAAGGAATGAGATAACATGTTTCTTTCTCTGACAGATCTTCTAGTCTTTTCTTCCAGAACACTGAGAATATCCCTCTGCTTTAAACTGCTACTTTCTCTGGTAACAGACTTTTCCTGGGAGTTCTTTCATTCCTCTTTTCTGGTGGAGGTCCTTAGAGCTGAATTGATTTCTTTCCATCCATTATTCTACTCTTTCAGAGAAATAAATTTTAGTTTGCTTATTAGATTTTTTTTTTTTTTTTGCTTTTCGGGTCACACCTGGCGATGCACAGGGGTTATTTCTGGCTCATGCACTCAGGAATTACTCCTGGTGTTGCTCGGGGGACCATATGGGATGCTGGGAATCGAACCTGGGTCGGCTGCGTGCAAGGCAAGCGCCCTACCCGCTGTGCTATCACTCCAGCCCCAAGATTTTTTATTGTACTTTTGATGATTTGGCTACAGTCATTTTAACATTTATGGCTTTTAATGTACAAAGTTACTTCACCTTCACCACCACCAAAGTTTCCTTACTTCCTTCTTTTTTCCTTCCTTCCAGCAGAAGATATCTCCAAAGCAGTGCACAGGAACATGTTACATATAAATCTGGGTTTGGCCACATTCAATGTGCTTAATCCCTGTATTATCTTTGTGTTTTTTAATCCTTTTGGAGTCAGGGTATTTTAAACAAATCTGTTCCATTTCTGTAGTAATAGGAGTTTACTACCCCCTTCTTTTTTTTAATATTAAAAACAAAACTAAAATGGCATTTATTGGTATGGCAGTAAAACCCAGAGGACACATTGGGTGCCTAAAGATGCCTAGATGGGTACTTTGTGCTTAGGGTGGAAGCTATGGTCATGCATGTCGACCAGGTCTGTCCAGGGAAACTTACTTAAGGAAAACTAACAAAACAACCTCCGCCCTCCCTATTCCTTTCACTCACTCCTTGAAGAATGACATTTTTTATCCCCAGAATTCTGTAGGACTGTGCCACAGTTCTAGGAGTATGGAGGTGACAATTCCTGCACTACCTTGAAATGTAGCCAGGCCCCAAGTATCTGTCGCAGTAAGTAGGGTCAAGGTATTGAGAACAAGTTACTTAGAAGTAACCTTATGTGAATGGGGGACTTAGTCTAAGAGCAATGTAGACCTTGTAGGTTTGGAATAAGAAGTGATAATCTGATTAAGGAGGGCTTTTTTTTTAATCATTAAGTGAGGCTGGAGAGATAATGCAGCAGATAGAGCACTTGTCTCACTTGTGACAAATCTGGGTTCCATCTTCAGCACCACATAAGTTCCCCTGAAAGAGTGATCCCTGAGTGCAAAGACAGGTGCAAACCTTGAACACAATGGGGTGTTGCATCCAAACAAAACAAAGATCACATGGCCACTATGTTAATTTATAATGGATCAGTCATTAGTTAATAAAAGATTATAAAAATTAAAGCGTTCTACAATGTACACCATATATACATATGGAACTGAATTTTTAACAATGAAATAAACTTTTATTTCAGGGCACATAAATGAAAATAGTGAAAAGATTGATTCATTTAAAATCTAAAATGTTATGATAGCACAGCCGGTAGGTGTTTGCCTTGCATGCGTCCAACCTGGCCTACCCAGGTTCGATTCCTTCGCCCCTCTCTGAGAGCCTAGCAAGTTATAAGAGAATCTGGACCGCATGGTAAAGCCTGGCAAGCTCCCCGTGACGTATTTGATATGAATTCAAGTGTCACAATGGAGAAGTTACTGGGCCCGCTCAAGCAAATCGATGAACAGCGGGAGGACAGTCAGTGACAGTGACATATGAAAGGAGTATATCAGAGATGATATTCATACTATTTTATATTGTACTAACCTCTTGTTTTGAATGTCAGTACTTAAAATGAATTAGTACTTGATGATAGAAGATCTAAAATAAGAATCTACCTAGAGATTAGCTGACAATATAAAGCACTAAGAGTGACACAGTCTTTTGTTTTTGTGTTTGGGCCACACTTGGCAATGCTCAGGGGTCAATTCTGACTCTGCACTCAGGAATTATTCCTGGCAGCTCTTGGGATATTGTATAGAATGCTGGGAATTGAACTCAGGTTGGCTGCTAGCAATTGATAGGAAAATAGCCTACCCGCTGTATTATTGCTCAGGCCCTGACACCGTTTTATCTAAGAAAACTGAGGCATAACGATCACTTTCTTCTGCTATTGGCTGTTGCACATAATTATCCTTAGACCTCATTAAACCTAAAAGGCCTGACACACCATAGTAAATTAGATTCTATGTGCTAAATGTCCCATCACAGCATGGAAAAGCAAGACGTTTTGCAAACTTTTATTAAATTAATATATACTTTTTTGTTTGATGGGGATCAAACCCAAGGCCCCACAAATGCAAGGCAAGTGCTCTATCACTGGGCCACATTGCCAAATCCTTAAATACTTTTCTACCCTTAAAATTCTGAAATGTATTTCAAAATACATACTCTCACTGAGGTTAACCTACTTTTGAGTTTCACATTGGCAAGCATCTTTCAAAACCTCCAAGATCATTTGTTCTGGGACACTAGTAAACTCATGAGGGAAGGCCGAGGGACAGATACTTATTAAATCATTGTTTCTAAAAATATGTATTGTCCACAAAGAAAACACCTTAAAGTGACATTTGTAAGGTTCAGAGATAACTCAATGGGCTGAGCTCATGTGTTACAAGTAAGTTAGATCCCTGGCACCACATTGATCCCAAGCACCATTGGGGGCAACTCTTGAGCCAGGAGTACTCTTCCCCTCCGCTCCATCCAACATCACCTCAGTACCACTGGGTATAACCACATAACAAAAACAAAAATTGTGCTTGTAAATCAGCATTTTGCCCCATATTCTTCAAGTATAATGAATTTGTGATTTAATTTATAATTTATCCATATTTGGAAATACAGAATTTCAGACATTGTAACTGAAGAATATGTAGTAAAACATCTGCTGGGAGTCAGAGAATGTGCAGGGAATTAAAGGCTCTTGCCTTGCATTCCTCCTCTAGGTTTGAATATTGAGTATCATGTATGATCCATGGACATTGCCAAGGTCAGTTCTAATCACAGAGCCAGAGTCAGGATTGGCCCAAGCACCACTGGGTGGCCCCCCAAACCAAAACTTAAGATTCCAGTTCTAGGCATATATTATCACCATCAAACTAAATTACTATACTTTACAGATTATTATAGCGTGACAAATAATAAATTGGAAATGAGAAAGGGTATTTTATTTTGGTTTTCCAAAATAAAGATTGATCTCATCACCTACTTTATTTCCAATGCATAGTCATAATTCATTTGGTCTGTGGCCTGTAAAATCTTTTTGAAGAAAATCTGTGTTCCTAATATATATTTGGGTCACATCTGAAGGTACTCAGGGGCTTCTCTCAGGTCAGAGCTCAGGTAGATGGTGCTGAACTAAACCTGGGGTTCCTATACTCAGTCAGCACTCTTGTTCCTTGGGCTCTCTTCCCTGGCTCCTCTGGAGGGAATTGTTTTCTTCCAAGACTTTTTTTTTTTTTAAATTGATCAAGAAATCATTCAAGACTGCATCCTCTCCCTCCCTCTTCAAAAGGAAAAGATCATCAATGGTAAAAAAACAGATGCAACAGATTCAAGACTCTTTATAGTTTTGTCCTTGTTTCTCACCTCAGATTACTCGTTATCTATGACAGTCTGTGTACAGAGTTCCTCATCCATTATATGCATAAGGGTAGAACATAGAAAAGTGCATTGCAATATAGCTAAGTTTCGTCATGAAGAAACCTATAAGGTGATTCTAGAATTCTTTCAGGAACATAAATAAATGCTGAAAGACTACTACCAAGATCTTGTTATTGACACTACTCATAGAATATGAAGTTGATAGTTACCTCAATTCTAACACTGTACTAAAAATGGACCTAGACCTGCAATTTCACTTTTCCTTTTCCAGTATTCATGCCCCACAGAATCTTCAAAAATATGTAACTTTGAGAGGCCATAGAGATAGTACAGTAGATGTCACCTGCCTTGCATGCAGCCCAAGTGGCCAAGTTTGATTCTCAGCATCATATTGTCCCCCAAGCATTGCCAAGATTTCTGAATGCAAAGCCAGGAGTAACACGTGCATCACCAGCTGTGGACCCAAACCACTTTTGTTTGGTTCTTTGAAAGACGATAGGTGGGGGAAACAAACAGTTGTGCTAACTCCTTGCTCTGTGCTCAGGAATCAGTCCTGGCAGGGCTTAGAGCAGCATATGGGGTGCAGAGGATGAAACCTGTTTGCCCTGGCTGTTGTAATAATCTCTCATCCCCAAATATGTAACATTTAATACATTAATTATAAATAAACACGTCAGATACTAAAATTAGTCTAAAACACTTTATTTATTCCACAATAAACAATGCAAAGATTTTACTACAACACAGAACATAACACTTAATAGTTTTCAGTTAGAGCCCGTAGGTAAAGCTTTGGGATAGAGCATGTATAATTTCAAAGTAACCACACCAGCTCTGTGAATAGCATTAATGAGAACTATCACATGTGTTAAAGAGAGTCAACGACCCTTTATATTGGGGTAAGTATATAGAAAACCCGGGAACATTCTATGAACAGAGGCAAAACAACAAAATTAGTGGCAAAACAGGTAGCAATTACAGGGATGAAAACTTACACGGGAATTACCCATTTCAATGGAAAAACCTTCTAAGGAGACAACATTCATCCATCTGCTATCTTTGTATGAGATACTTTTTTTTTTTTTACCCTTCTGTAATGAGTTCTTGGTTTTTCTTCTCCAGAAAAAGAGTACCTGGTTACCTGCGCTGCTTATCTGTGTGTTTATATTTCTTTCAATTACTAGTCTAATACAGAATTTTTGTGTCCATATCCTTAAGGCTTAAAAATTAATAGCTCAAAAGGATATGTAAGCCCTACCTTCCTATTGATTTTTAAATGTCTCGTGGGCTATTAAGAATAACCAACTGTACTGAGAAATTAGGATAGAAGAATTATCTCTGCCTAACTGGGCTTCAAAATTATTCTGATATTAAGTGACAAATAGATTTTTCTGAAATAAGAAAACTGAAAGTTATTTTTATTAAATGTTGCTGTAATACTTATAACTCTTAATCATGGCTAACCAGATGGACACCATCTGTATATATAGAAGCTCGTTATCAGGAAAATTGTACTTTACTGAATGAAATCCTCCACTACTTATGCAAAGCCCAAAGCTGTTTGATAGTCACCAAGATAACTAGTCCTTTAATGATTTTTACAAAGAATGTGGACTACTCAAATTTAAGGCATAAAGACTAAGAAAATCGAAAGGTATGATAAACTGAATCTCATCAGCGATGACTCAAGTAACCTAGTTGTTGATACTGGGTCAGCACTATCATGGCATTTAAGCCAGGCCACAAAACTGATGCTCTCTGCTGTTAGGAAATAAAATGGCGCCAAACCATGCCTAGATTTTTCAGGTAGCATAGTCTTTTTGTTTGTTTGTTTGTTTTTGGAAGGGGGTTCCAAAACAAGGTTAGATTTATCCTATTAGCACTAATATTTTAAAATAAGTCCAAACACAATGCAGCACACCATTCTATTGCCACCCTCCCCCAAACAGGGTCTTATATGTTAAATAGTTTACAAAAATATATATCTTAAGAATTTTGAGGTAAAACTTCTTATACAACCAAATATCATAAAACTATCACAGTACATTATCATTTTAACAGGTGATCTTTATGTCTTTTGTGCAGTTTTCAGAAGTGTTACTTAATATTCTAATAATGCAATTAACACTGTACACTTTTACTATCACTGCATTTTCTTTGTAATCTTCAGTAGAAACAATTCTTGTCCGATTATTTTGACGTTGACAGTGAGTTGGCGTGAACAAACAAACCCTTCCTCCAATTTAAACACACAAAAAAGACAACAAGAAAAATGAGATTAAGTTTTTGGAACGTGGGAAACCACTAATCACTCTAATGTGGGGATGCACAAGTTAACTTTTTGCACCCATTCTTCATGCTATCGAATTCCTAGGCCTACTGCAAGATATTTTCTAAATCCTTTCAAGAAGCTCCAGTGGACTTCTGGATTTGCTCCTTTAAAATCAGGATACTCTGCCTTTGCTCTGGAGGCAGCATAGCAATCTGATCTGCAGTGAGCTGTAGAACTTGCATGATCAAAGCTGCCTTTTCTTGGTCCTGTGGAGTTACCTGGCTCTGACCTGGGCTGTAACTGCTTGGCTGGCCTCCACCTTGCTTACCAGCTCCCTGCATGCCTCCTGCCTGCATGCCCGCGCCCTGCATCCCTCCTGCCTGCATGCCCGCCCCCGGCATCCCTCCTGCTTGCATGCCCGCTCCCTGAATGCCAGCTCCAGGATTTCCCACCCCGGAGATACTTGGGACCTGCCGGGGTCCCGGAGGACCGCCAGCCCCCAGACTAAGGGGTCCAGGACCCTGAATTCCACCAGTCATGGGGCCTCTCGAGCTGGGGCCGGGACCCCGTATCTCCATTCCTCTCGCATCAATCACTCTTGCTTCCATCCCTCTGGTTTCCATGGCGCAGGCCTCCATCCCTCTTCTCTCCATCACCTCCGTCTCCATGGAGCGAGCCTCCAGAGCTCGAGCATCTCTGCCCGGCCTGCCATCCACAGGCAGGCCCCTTTGATCCATCATGGGTCCTCGGGGCTCCCCAAGGAGCAGTCTGGGATCGGCCAGCGGCCCCCCTCTCAGGTCGTGCGCGGAGGGGCCGCGGCCGTCGTGCCCCGAGCCATGGTGCAGGGGGGGGCCCTGGTGTGGCGGGCCCAAGTAGGCCCTGGGCTCTCCTTCCCCGGTGACTGAAAGCAAAGTCCCTCCACGTGGGTCGTTGGGCGCATCTCCGAGCAGCCCTCGAGGCGGGAGCCCGCCGCCGCCACCGACGCCGCCGCCCGCACTCATGGGCCCACGCGGCAGGGGCGCTCTGGGGTCCGGCATCTGCAGCTGGGGGGCGCGCTCCAAGGGCAGCGGCCCGACGCCGGGCATCGCGCCTGGCGGCTGCATGGCCCCTCCGGGTGTGAGGGAGCCCGGGCCGGAGGCGGCGGGCATGGGGCCTGGCGGCTGAGGCACGCCCGCCTGGACGGGGGTCTGCATGAGCGGCGGGATGTCCTTGACGGGCCTTCTGGGCAGGTGCTGGTGCTGGTGCTGCTGCGCGGCGGGGGTCTGCTGGCCCAGCAGCAGCACCCCCCCGGGCCCCGGGCAGACAGTGGCTGGCGCGGGCGCGGGCCCGGGCGCGGGTGCGACCCCGACCCCAGCCGTCGCGGCCTTGCCCGGCGGCAGCAGGGGCGTGACGGGCACCTTGCGGTGCAGGATGCGCAGCGCCAGCTCGGGGTCCATGATGCGCATGACCACCTGCGCCTGCAGCAGCGCGTAGGCCAGCTGCGGGTTCTGCAGCAGCATGCTGCGCGCCTCCTGGTGGCTGTTCTGCACGCACAGCTTCATCTGCTTCATGAGCTCGAACATCTGCTCGGGCGGCAGGCTGGCTACGGCGCGCGTGATGGAGGCGGGCGCGTCCGCGGGGTCGATGGGCTCCCCGTAGGGCGAGTCGGCCAGCGGCGCGGCGGGGCCCAGGCTCTTGAGCTCCTCCTTGTTCTTCTCGCTGGCCGCGTTGTCCACGCGCAGCGCGCGCCCGCTGAACTCGCGCCCGTTGAGGTTGCGCATGGCGCTCAGCGCCGTCTCCTGGTCCTGGTACTCGCAGAAGCCGTAGCCCTTGGGCTTGCCCGTCTCGCGGTCGTACACGAGCCGGAAGCTGACCACGGCGCCCACCTCCGAGAAGATGTCCTTGAGCTGCTCCTCGGTGGCCTCATACGGGATGTTGCCCACGAACACGGAGCGCAGCGAGCGGTCCATGGCCGGGTCCCGGGCCGCCGCGCCCGACATGGCTGCCGCGGGCGGGCCGGGCGGGCGGGCGAGCGGCCGGCGGCGCGGGCGCGGCCGCACTTCCGCTCGGCGCCGGAAGCCGCCCCGCGGGCGGGGGACGCGGGAAGGGGGGCCGGGCGGAAGCCCGCGGCCGCCTGCCCAGACCGTTCCGCCGTCGCCACCGTTCCGCGGGCGCTTCCTCCCTCCACCCCTCCCCGCGCCGCGGGTGAGGGCATAGGCGGGTTCGCGGGCACGTTGGGCGTTTCGCTCTCCGAGAGAACGAAGCCAGATGGGCGATGAGAGACGAGAGAAAAAAAAAGAAAGAAGCCGCGCTTCAGAGAAGAACCCCAAGCGGAAGCCGCGCGCCACTGGGGTCGCGGAGACTCTGGGCGGGCGCAGGATCCCCGCCCCGGCGTGGAGCGCCCCCTGCACAGACGCGTCTCTAATCCGCCCCCCCCCCCCCCCGAAAAAACAGCCTCTCGCCTTTCGGGTTTGTGGTGGGTCCTTGCTCCTCCTCTCCAGCTCGGGGGGGGAGGGGGGGGGTCCGGGGGGGGGGGATGGTGCTGGGGTCGAGCGGAGCAAACGCCCTTCTCCTGAGCTGAGGTTCCGACCCAGCCCCAGCGAGCCTTGTCGGGCTCGAAGACATCGCCGGCTTTCAGCCCCTGGGATGTGCGCGGGCCCAGACAGGTAAGAGAGCGCTTGGCTGAGGCTCTTACCTGGCGCACAGCCGACCCCGGCTCCGTCCCGGGCACTGCAAGTGTGGCCCCAGATCCCCAGACAGGCAAAGACGACGTGGGGCGACGCGCGGTCGGCCTTGTCCGGCCTCTCCAGCGGCCCTAGTGGGGAAGCCCCATCTTGGAGCAGGACGCACACACGCACTGCGACCCGGGGTACTCGGACCTGAAGCCGGTCCAGACAATGACGTTCCTGTCAGAAGTGAAGAACATCACCAACAGAGCTTCCCGGAGCCAGCAGCCCGGCGTGCTGGGGGAGCTGTGTGCTGACCTCAGCTCCTTGCCCGACTCTGGTGTCGTGGAGTACCTGAGCACTGGGGGAGTGGAGACCAACCACAAGGACTTTGAGGAATTGAGGTACAATGAGAGTCTCACCCACTTCAACTGCAGTGGGAGATTTCGGACAGGGCGAATCACCCACGGTTTCCGGCTTACAAGTGCCTGCGAGCAGGGCCTCGTGCCTTACACCAATTACACGTTGGAGCTCAAGTGGATCATTAACTACCTCTTCCCCTCGAAGCCTCAGCTGAAGACCCTGGGCGTGCTGGACCCCCTGGACCACACCACTGGCTCGTGGAGAACAACATTGCTGGCTGCCCGCACCTGCTCAACTCCTGCGACCGCTTCTCCCTGTTTGTCCAGCTCCAGCTGGCGCTGCCTTTTCGGCCAGCAGTGAACGGCTTCCACCTCCAGGGCAGGAGGTAGTCCTGGCACCCGTCTCCCGGGCAGGAGGTGATTATTCAGCACTCACCTCCCGACAGGGGGTCCTTATCCCACCACTCGCCTCCCAGGCAGGAGGCTGTTCCTGTCCCCTTCAGGAAGTGCCCTGCTTTCTTCATTGGAAAACCCATCAAAAGCTGAAGTTAAGGGGAGTGAGAGAGGGAGAGAGAGTTTTGTTTTTGTCTTAGTGATTTAAATTTTCCATCTGATTCTTGAACCCAGGCTGGAGAGAGAGCACAGTGGCTTGGGCGTTTGCCTTGCACGGGGCTGACCAGAGCGACCTGGGTTCAATTCCTTCACCCCTCTCGGCAAGCTACCGACAGTATCTCGCCCCCACGGCAAAGCCTGGCAAGCTACCCATGACATATTCGTTATGCAAAACACAGTAACAAGTCTCACGATGGAGACGTCACTGGGCCTGCTCCAGCAAATGGATGAACAATGAGGACAGTGCTACAGTGCAGTGCTACGACTTGGGGGTAATGTGGGGTGCTGGGGATCAGACCCGGGTAGACTCAGTGCAACGCAGATGCCCTTCCCGCAGTACTATCACAGTAATGCAGATTTCTTACCCAGGTTGGCTGGTTCAGCACCTGCTCAAATCCTGCGCATTTGAGTGACTTGAGAAATCAAACTTTTGCTTTGATCTGTTTCATTCTATTTTAACTGTGAAACTGATGTTCCGTTAGACTCTTGGAAAACTAATACGTTTGGAAAGAATCTTTTTGTTTTTAAGGCAGGTGGGATGATCCACCCAGCAGGCCTGGGACTCTCTCAGGTCCTACTGTTTTTGCAATGGTACATTTCAGTACATCTAAATGAACATGGAGGGCTTCTAATTCAATACAGAATTATAATTGAGATGTGTTATGCATGTGTTGTGCATGGCTGAAATTGAAGATTATAAAAATAAATGTCGTGAATACTGTTTACATGTTGGACTGTTTTTATTCGTGGATAAAAGAAAAAAATTTTTAACATGACTCACTCCTTTCGTTACTCTTTAAAAATATGGCTCTTACAAATGAGTAAGCCTTGCATGATCACCTGCGTTCTTTACCTTGCCGTCCTCACACCCCCCACCCCAATAATGTGATTGCTTAGAAAAATTGAATATAGGTCGGGGAGATAGTTTAAATGGCTTAAATCTAGTCCAATCCCTGGACTGGATTGCCCTGCCTGATATGAACTATGCAGCCACAGTTATGGCTCCCAAACAAAAATTAAAACTACATTCTTTACCTTGCATGTGTGCCAACCCTTATCAGATCTCTGCCACTGTAAAAAAAATATTAATTATATACATGGAATTCATTTTTAGTCTGCACTTCTCCAGAGCCCATGTCCCAGCTCCTTAGCAGCATATTTTATTTTACATGTGACTTTTGAGGGAATATAGATTTTTTGTATCATCAGAAATCGTTATGTAATCTTTGGTATCATCGTCTAGTGAATATACCCGCAATGAGTATACAGAAGTAGCTACAAATACAAGTATTCATTTACCTTCTGCCATTTAATACTTAAAAGGAAGCTTAAACAGGTACTCGTCAATACACCTGATAACTTTTGTTTGCAAGTGGTATTTGTGTGCTCTGGTAAAGTCTTCCTGGTATATCAGAGAAACAGAATAGCTTCCTGCTTGTAATGCTATTAGGGGTTTGAATAGAGGGAAGCCAAGGCTGTGATGCTTTGGGCCAGCAAGAATAAGTCCATTTTTCTTTATCATCTCAAGAGAAGTAAAAATTTTTACTCACATTTTATTAGGAACAACTTAGACATCTATTTTGTGAGTAATTGTGTGAGTTAAATGAAATTATGAGATTTGGAAATAGCTAATCAGATACGTTGGAAAGTTTGTAGAAAGAGTGTACAGTTTATCTAATTGAGCCAGCCTCCTTCCTCCTTCCTCCTTCCCTCCCTCCCTCCCTCCCTCCCTTCCTCCCGTTTTTCCGCCCTTCCTATCTCTATGTTCAGATATTACTCCCAGAAGTTCTTGGAATTCAAACTGGTTAGTAGCACACAAGACAAGTACCTTAACCCCTGGTACTATCACTCTGGCACCATAGGGAGAAATTACTGCTACCACTAATTGATAGTTTTCAAATCTGTGGGCTTCCCACATGGCTCAGAACAACCTGGAGCTGTGGCTTTTTAAGTTAAATTTTTGGACCTTACCACCTGCCCTTACCGTGTTCTGATTCAGTTTTTCTGGGGTCCTATGAGAGAATCTGCATTTTGAACACACTTCTCTAAGATCAGGAATCTAAGCACGGGAGTTAGTGACTATGTGTTTTCCATGTTCCTGAAATCAAACTAAATTTACTACACTGTGAAAAGTTACAATAGTTGGGTGGTCTCTTAAAAAAAATATTGAAGAGAGAGCTCAAAGGACTGAGTGGATGTTTGCATATATGAGGCTTTGGTTTGATTCCTAGTCCCACTGTACACCCCTATGAATACCTCTGGAAGCAACCCCAAAGGAAGCGCTGGAAGTATACTCTAAACCTCAGAGGGTGTGACTCAGAAACCAAAACAAATTAAAGACAACAAAAAGCCAGTTGTTAAAAAAAAGTAAGCTGGTCAGATACACTAATCCAAGAGAGCAAAGCTGCTCTGGGCTTAAAGAATGCATGCATTGAGCTGAGAAACTCAGGAAACAGATAAGACAAGCACACCATGACTATAAATGCTTTATATAACAGGTCTTTCTGTTCTCTGTATCTCCTTGATTCCAAATGGAAAGATTGGTTTGAGATGGCCATACTTGTAAAATAAGAAGGAACATGTACTGTCTTCTACAAAGTTCTCATTAAACTTCATATACCTACTGGGTTAGATTTAAGTTCATTTTTCTGTGAATAGAAACAATTCCTTATTGTTACTTTTCTGATACTACAACTACCTTTTAGTTGAATCACTGTGTTCCTCCTATTTTTTTTGTTCTGTTTTCATATTGGGATCACACCCAGCAGTGCTCAGTACTTCCTGCCTCTGTGCTCAGAAGTGACCCGTGCTGCTCTCAGGGATTCCAGCTGCAAGCACCTTTTACTCCAGCCCTGTAATTTTCCTTCTAAACTATAACATTATCTGAGGAAAGAATTAGAATCCCTTTTGTCAGTTTAACAAAGTACCTTAGAGTTGTCTTGAACAAGTTCTCTTAAATGTTATTCTTGAACCACTAGCAATAAAATCACCTGGAAACATCTGAGAAATGAAAAACTTGTGACTCTAGTCTAAATTTACTGCATAAGAAAATTTACTATATATGTGATTGTGTGAGAGAGAGAGAGAGAGAGAGAGAGAGTGTGTGTGTGTGTGTGTGTGTGTGTGTGTGTGTTTCCAGAAATCTGTACACTACTACCCAGTTCCCTAGAGGACTGATGAGGGCTATAGGTTGGAAACTAAAGGAAGATAATCATAAATGAAAAATAAATAGAATTGCCTCCCAGGCCACCATATAATCACAACCTAGAATGGGTTTTAGCACAAATGGTTATACAAACGTTACATGAATAATGGACACAGCCTTAGAATTAGGAATCTCACAAACTGTTCTTACACAAA